TCTAAATGGGGAGCCTCTCTAGATCTGTTTATTTCTGTCAGCTAGGGCTCCCTGTTTAGCCTAGGTTAAACAGCCCCAAAAAAGGATCTCAGTCAATGAGATCCACCTGGCCCTCATTCCAATCACTATTGACCCTTGCTGAGTTGATAAGATGGATACAGAACTGGTTTAGTCATAAATGATGGAGTAGCAACACATTTTTCTGATTGGACAGCTGTAGCCTGTGGTGTTCTGCAGTGCTGGGACCCCTGTTGTTGGTCATACAGGTCTAAGTGATTGAGGAAAATGAAGGTGGCCTACAAAGATGGGGGAAGCTGGGATAGTGAGGAGCATATAGATAGGCTGGTGAAATGGCAATGGAGTTTCATCTAGAAAAGTAAGGTGATGCATTTTGGGAGATCTAATGCAGGAAGGAAGAATACAGTAAGTAGCTGAACCCGTAGTAGCTTTAAAATATTGAGGGATCTAGGTGTACAGGTCCACAGCTCCCTTGAAGTGGCAACACAAGTGGAGGTGGTGATCAAGAAGGCATATAGCATGCTTGCGTTTACTTATGGCATAGAGTATAAAGTCATGTTGCAGTTGTATACAGAACTTTAGTTAGGCCATATTTGGAATATGGTGTACAGTTCTGGTCACCATACTACAAAGATATGCAAGCTGAGAGGGTACAGAATGTAGCCTGGTTTGGAAGATATTAGCCATGAGAGATCGGACAAATCGTTCGTTGGTTTCCACTTGGAAGTCACAGGCTACAGGCCAACCTGATAGAAGTTGACAAAATTGAGAGGCATGGACAGAATAGATAGTCAGTCTTCCCACACCCTACCATCCAGGGTAGAAGTGTCAATTATTAGGGGACACACGTTTAAGGTAAAGGGCAAGTTTAAAGGATACAAGGCAAGATCCCCCTGTCTCAGAGGCTGCTAAGTGTTGGACTGCCAGGAGGCAGATACAAACAGCAAAATTTAGGAGGTATCTGGACAGATACATGAATAGGGAAGGAGTGGAGGGATATGATTGTATAGAGGCAAAAAAGGTTCAATTTAGAAAAGTGCAAGTTTGGTGGGCAGATGTGCCTGCTCCTCTGCTGTCTGTTTTAGTCTTTGTGCAGTGCGAACTATCAGAAACCACGACATCATCCAGGACAAAGCAGACCACTTGATTGGCACCACATCCATAAAGCATTCACTCCCTCCACCATAGAGGGTCAGTAGCACCTACAAGATGCACTGCAGAAATTTGCCAGAGATCCTCAGACAGCAGCACCTTCCAAACCCCAACAACTATGGACAGGCAATAAGTGGTCTGCCAGGAATGCCCATGTCCCAGGAGAAAATAAAAGTAGGCACAAGGTCTGTTTGGAAAAACAGCTTATTACACAATGGCCTATGTAACTAAACCCTTAAGAATAATTTCATTCTAATCCTCAAGAGGAATCAAATTGCTTAGGCACAGTAATAGGGAATCAGTAAGCATACAGCTGTCTTAAGAAAGAGATTATTACAATGGCCTGCTTTTTCTACCTCATGGCAATTAACTAGCTTTGAGACCAGCAAGCCCAAAGTTAAAGCCATGGTATGAACTTACACCTCAGCAAGATGAATTTGATTCTTGCACCAAGTCATGGTTATTGTTTGGTGTCCATTAATATCAAGCAGGATAAGCAGTTAATCACGATGAGATATCTGTACTGCAATGAAAACATACCAAATTGATACTTAAAAAGGATAATTAAACAGGATAAGTAACTGGAAGACAAAATGCAACTAAAGCAGAACCCAAAAGTACATACGAATTTGTTACAGAGAACAAGCAGTCTCCACTGTAGAGAATATTCTCTTCTCCTCCCCCTCCCCAATGTTCTTTCCTCTGATGACAAAATCTTTTTACACCCCTACACGAGTGGTCCCATATCATGGAAGTGTGATCAAAGATTTCACCTGCACTGCAGTTCCTGTTCTTGGTCCACATGGGGTGCAACAACCATGAACCTGCTAGGCAACTGCAAAGGTGAGGCTCTTCCAATGCTACCATCTGGATTCCCATATCTACCTCACTTCAGTCTCACCCACCTAACCACAGACTAAATCAGATTTCTAAAGTGTGACTGCCTCATCTTAGACAGTTAAGTTCCAATTTTTTTTTTTTTTTTAAAAACTTCAGAGTCTGGAACTTAAGATCCAAAGAGGTGTCAACACCAAGAATGTTGTTAAGAACCTGCTTTTCCAACACTTCCTACCAATAACTGTAAAGCATCAGAAATGGTGACACATGTACACTTGGCTGGTATCACAGCAAATGCCACTTATGCAAACACCCCAGATGCATGTCCAATCAGCAGGTAGATCAGTGGCTTTGCTTTAAAAACTGGAGGATCAAAAAGAGTAGTGTTGAAGCTAGTTCCATACAAAGTATTCACACTAGAGGAGAGTAGAAATTTGCTATATTCTGGACAGAAAGTTGGAGGATTAAGACCGTGGACCACGTTACTGCCAAAGCCTGGCTAGCCAACAGCTGGTAGTTGATTGGATTCAATCATATGCTCAAGACCCCTCTTGGATAATGACTTTAGCACATCAGGAGCCAGCTCTTCTTAAAGATCTAAATCCCATGACCAACCCACCCTCTCATCCCTGTCTCCTTGACCTGCCACAACCTGTCCATCTCTCCCACCTATCCACTCCTCCCACCTCCCTGACCAATCCCCACCACTGCCTACCTGCACTCACCTACCTTCCCCAGCCCCACCCCTCCTATTTATCTGAGCTCCCTTCCTCCTCCCCCATTCCTTTCAAGGGTCCCGATCCAAAATGTCAACTTTCCTACTCCTCTGCCTGGCCTGTGTTCCTCCAGCTCCATACTGTGTTCTGACTCCAGCATCAGCAGTTCTTACGACTTCTTAAAGAAGAGCTGCCTCCTAATTGGCATTCTCTTTCCTTTCACCCTTACTCTTATAACACCGCACTGATCTTTATTCTCAGGCATACCTTTAGGGCAAAGCGAGAGAGTTAGGATTAGATGCAATGCTAGCAGGTTGCAAGATTACTTACTAGAAAAATTAAAATGATCAATTGTTCTGTAGCACTTGTTAAATCAAGATTTACAAGTTCATTCGTATTCACTATTTCAAAAACTTCCTTTTGAACACAGAAGACATTGCAGGGTTTGAAATTCTGACTCCTACCCAGAAAACCAGTTGAATAAAAGTGTTACAAACAAAAAAAAAAAGGAATGCTCATCGTGTAGGGATTGGTGTACTGGGTGGCTAATAGGACTATTTTCAGGTTTGCAGGATGCAACTTGTGTGCTAGGTGATCATTGCTGTTTTTAAACTTGTTTACATTGGACACATCTACATGGGACTTAAGCAAGAATTTTTATAAAAAGTACTTCATGGGAGACTGGCCAAGAAAAAAACCTCATGGGGTCCAAGGCAAAGTGGCATGTTAGACAAAATTGTCTGAGGGGCAGGAAGGAGGGGTGTTGGTAGAGGGATGTTCCTTTGAAGTCTTTTCCAGCAGGTTCCACAAGGCTCATTGTTGGGATCCTTGCAGTTTGTGGTGTACATTTGTAATTTTGACTTAAATATGGGAGAATAATCAAGGTGCTCCAAGATGACCAAAATTGTTAGGATGGTAACCAGGATAGCAATAAGATATCAACAGACTGGTCAGATGGGCAGAAGACTGGCATACCAACTTGGAGAGAGCCAACAAGTTATGAGATTGAACTATGAATGGTACAGAAGGTTACAGGGACCTTTTGGTGCACATCCATATATCCCAGGACAAGTAGATAAGGTGGTTAAGGAGGCAAGAAGTATAGTTACCTACATAGGTCATGACAGCATATAAGAGCTGAGAGATTATACTAGATTTGTGCAGCCAGATCTTTGTTGGCTAAAGACATAGGCTGATTTGTTTCCTTCTGTGTTGCAAACATCTATGATTAAAGGATAGGCTTATATCTGCTGGAATTGGGCAAAACATGACTTCGAACCACAAAACATCAAGGGATGTTGAAGCAAGTGTGGAGATGCTTTCCTTATGAAGCAAGAATGAACAGTTTCTACCTGAAAAACAGGTGCCAAGTAAAGCTTTATGGTTATGAGTCTTTGGAATGGTGCCTAAAAGAGGCACTGAAAGAAGAGTTTGAATATTTAAGGAATGATCAAATAGGTTCTTGGTAAGGAAAGGGTTGATGGGAATGTGCATGTGAGGTCATTTGCCATCATGTTGTTAATGGAAAAGCATGCTTGTTGGTCTACTCTTGCTCTTTGTTCACATGCTACAAACTTAAAGATATTCTTAAATCATGCCTGCTGGGTTATGGTGGAACAAGCCCTCAAGTTGAATACTTGGATGTACTTACATCAAGAATTACTCCAGCATTAGGGAAGTGGAAATTAAAAAGGAAACAACAGAAAAGAAACGTGAAAAAACACTATGCTTAATATCCCATTTGTACAGCTACTAAACAGACATCCTGCTTCTGTGTCTAGATTTTTTTTAAAAAAAGCCCTGCAGGATAACCACAGGTCAATATTACCTTTGCTACATGAAACAGTGCTTCACACCTACTAAACAACTCTAATGGTCCTTCATGTGATGATTTGCACAGAACTGGTGCCAATCACAACTTCAGTCTGTAACTTTGTTACTGATGGAGTTAATGCAAATGCTGTTTGGCTTGATTTGCTGTGATCTCCAGCATTTGTTTTCAGTGCTGTTTTAAGATCTGGGCACTAGCTAGAATGGATATAAAGAAGTCTGATTATAGGAAACATTTCACAACAAAGTGTACTTTCCATCTTTTGAAAAGGTTGACTTTTTATTGCATAAATAGCCTAGAAAACTGATTAAGACCTAACGTTTCAATATACAAAATCAACAGCTGTTGATTGTCAATTCTCATTTGAGGAAAGGTTTGTTTTATGAAAGGATAGCTTTTACTGCTTTATTGTGCTTTGTGCCAGCAGATCAAACGGGCACAATTACCTGGAAATCACACCAGCTGCCGACCGCTGCGTGGACTCCAGATCATGGACAGTCATCAGCAGGCTCCCAACCATTTTTCATGGTCCTGGACTGCAACAGTCTGCCTAGGGTAACAGCCATCTGTAGACAGGTTTCTTGTGCCTTTATGGAGGTCCCACTGCTGTGAGATAAGAAGATGATTAAGCATCAATATGCAAGGGTGAAGTGTACACAAATAGTAGGTACATGACTAAAAGAGGCTACTTCCTTGTTACCCTACAGCAGATGGCAGGAGGGACAGAGGACATTCAGAATGTTTCACTGAAACTTGGACTTTATTCTTCAAAGAAAAAAAACAATGCTATACAAAACATTAGGTTTCAGTCTGAAAAAACAAAAACAAAGCTATTAAGGTATACAGGAAACTAATTGCCCCCAAAGATCTATAACTCAAATCTCCCATTTGTAAATCAAATAATCAGATGGCAATATCAGCTTTGGAAGGTCATGAAACGTTTTAGCCAGCTAGTCTTTAGAAAGACTGGATTATTCACCTACCATGCACCCGAATTGTCCAGAGTACTGTCATTACAAAATGTATTACAGATATTTCAAATCCTTCAGCTAAATGAGGCAGATGGACTAAAAATTTCTAGAAGTGGAAGCAAACAAATTGCCAAGAAATGGGTTAACCAATTGCAATCAAAGAGCATGGAACATTACTTCACACACCAGACCAAGTAAAATTAAAAAACTTCACTGAAATCCAAGGAACCATATGGAGAGCCTACTTTTAAAGTAGAAAAGTACACGCATCAAAAACTATGCATTAGCCGCCATTCTGGTTAAAAGGAGGAATATGGCCATTGTAGCTCACTTTTTCAAGAGAGTTCAAAATAAGGGGAATGGAAATACATTTTAAAAATGTAAATTATAACCAGGCCAGCATGAATTCAACAGAAGTTACTTCAAATCAACGGGACTGAGATGCTCAGAAGCCAGGAATTTTGCAATGCAAAAGACTTTGGGAGTACATCTCCAGAGCGTTTTCTGGTATTCGTGAGGTTCTAAAAAGAATGCATATTAAATAACACTTGTTGCAAAACAATCACTTAGATTCTAGGAAAGAAGAGGAGAGGTCATACTTCCAGATGGGTAAATTAATCCATTAAAGATTGTAAAATTTTATTTATAGATAAAGACAAACATCTAAATCTGACACTTTTATTTTACAAGATTAATTCAAAGCCCTACACAGCTTGCACTTAAAGAGTCTTTGGCTTCTGATGGGTTTGGCAGAATTGGGAATTCCAAACTTGAAAGGTCCAAGATGCAATTCAAATTAAAAAAAAAAGTCTTTAACTAGATCTCAGAATTCACCTTCTCTTCTAACCAGTTATACATAGCTTCAAAATTTTTCTTTAGGAATGTCTCTGTTCTGTTTACATCTTTCTCTGAAGAAGAATATTGCTCAGATGTATTTTGCGACATCTGCTCATGCTCACCATTTCTCCGTGAGTCGATACTAGCTTGCTCTAGACCCCCAGGTGAGCATTCAAAGTGGGACAAGTAGTCTATCATACTGTTGCCCTCTTCTTGCCAGTAGCTGGGGATAGCTGCAGCTTGCTTTTGGAGTTCCTGGTACTTCTCATGCATTAGAAACTGGGTGGTGTTCCTTGGGGCCCTCATACCAGGTGCTCTCTTGCCATTGATATTAACAGGTCTGAGCAAAGCCCCAAGGTTAATACAATTGCAGGTTCTTCCTCTTCGGTATTTGTGCCACTGCTGCTTCCTCTTCCTCCATTTCTGCTGACAAGCACAGCAGCACTTGGATCTGCAGCGTTTGGACTTCTTTGGTATTAAGTGGGGCTTCCTCCAACCTTCAGTAATAATATTACCTCCCATAGCCTCAAAAGACAACAAGAGAGCAGCAGGGAAACTCACCACCTCACTTTTCGTGAGGCCTAATCCCAATTTTAAAAAAAGTTAAAAGCCTTTTTGGAGAAAGTCCAGTGCCACTCATACACACACACAATACAAACTGAGCCCTCCAGGTGTGAAAGTGTTTCAGATAAGATGCAATCAGAAAACTGCGCAGTGGCTTACAAGGACTAGTGGCTTCAAAATAAGCCAAAAGTAAAGCTTCCTTGACAAGCAAGCTATCAGTAAGGTGGAGGAAGGCCAGGTGGACGAGGGAGGAAGTCAGCAAACACGGAGATCCTAACGTCTTTCACTGACACCCCGAACAAAATGAGAAACACACTTTCGCCCAGCATAAAATACCGACGTAAGAAACTTTTTAAAGAAACTGAAATCCCGCTGGTTCAAAGGAATCCCTTTGGGTATACCTGCTCCAATCACAGCCCCTGGCTGACTGCTCCGCCTCTCCCAGCGGACACTAACGGACACTGTTCTGGAAACGTCTCTTAAAGCCGCAGTTTGCGCACGCAACCTCACGTGCACACCGAAGGGGCGGGGTCAGGCGGTTGCCCTGGGAGACCGCCAATCAGGTCTGCCTGCTGGTCGGGCAACGTCACCAACGGCACAAAAGTGCCGGATGACGGTTGCTAAGGGTATGAATTTTTTTTCCTTTTTATTTCTTCTGAGTTTTCTTGGACGTGTGGAGAGTCCAAAGAAAGTTTGAGGAGTTGAAAATGTGTGATGTTGAAAATCATAGCAAAGTACAACACCTGCTTGGATGTCAGAGTTGGCAGGTATATGGGTTGCCAGGATGAATATGTACATGGGCTGGTGTATGAAGTGCTTGGTGGCCAGAAACATGGGGTACCATGATGGCTGTTATAAAATTTCACATGTATTAGGTTGTTTAATGTTGTTATGAAAGCATATTGTAGTGATTGCAATGAGGGCCAGGTGGATCTTATTGACTATGAGATCCTTGATTGGGGTTGTTACCCTGCGCCAATAGGGGACACCTGGCTAACAGATATAAACAGGAGTATCAGCAAATCCCCTAGTTCTAAGGACTATCTCTGAGGTTGCAGATCAGAACCCCTGTACTGTGCACATGTAAATAAAGGGTGAGTTGGTAACAGGCTACCAGCCTCTGTGCAGTTATTTCACAGGTAAATTCAGAAAACATCAACCCTTAAATGTTGGTTTTCAACCTATAGGCACAAACACAATTAAGCAAGAAGACAACTTAAATTTTGCACATAAGACAATAGGGGTGTCAATGGCAGGTTGTGTTATTGTTGATGTGTCGACAGTTTCACACGCTAACCCTGACACCCCAAAATATGATCCTAAAGCTGAACTTCCAAAGTGTTGTGCCAGCAGTGTGATTGTGCGCTGACAAGGGTGTCAGTAGCCATTCTGATGTCAGGATTATTGCTGGTTAGTTGTACCATCATTAGACACTTGGTTAAATTCTATTTTAATGTATTGTGTACAATTTGAGTACCTGACACTTCTGAATCATAAGGTTCTAGGTTCAAGTATCGCTCCAGTGTTTGAGCATAAGAATCAAGTCTCACATTCCAGTCCAGTGCTAAAGGAATACTGGAAGTTCCATCTTTCGAATCAAACATTATACTGAGATTCTATGGCACTATTTTGAAGAAAAGCAAAATGAGTAATCTTGGTCACCTGATAAATATTGATCCTTCAAACAACATTACAAAAATCATATATCTGGCTTGCTGTTTGTGGGAGTTTGCTCTCTACAGATTGGCTACTATGCCTCCTTTTGTCTGATAATGATTACACTTCAAAAGTACTTTATAGAGTCATAAAATCATAGAGCAGTACACCATAGAAACAGACTCTTTGGTCCAACTCGTTCATGCCGATCAGATATCCTAAATTAATCCAGTCTCATTTGCCAGCATTTGGCCCATATCCCTCTAAACGCTTCCTATTCATATACCTATCCAGATGGCCCTTAAATGTTGTAATTCTACCAGCCTCCCCCACTTCCTCTGGCAGTTCATTCTATACGCACACCACCCTCTGCATGAAAATGTTGCCCCTCAATTTCCTTTTAAATCTTTCCCCTTGCACCTTAAACCTATGGCATCTAATTTTGGACACCTCCACCCTGGGAAAAGACCTTGACTATTCATCCAATCCATGCCTTTCATGATTTTATAAACCTCTGTAACCCCTCACACTCCTGATACTTCAGGGAAAATAGTCCCAGCCTATTCAACCTCTCCCTATAGTTCAAACCCTCCAACCCTGGTGACATTCTTGTAAATCTTTTCTGAATCCTTTCCCAAGTTTCACAATATCTTTCCTATAGCAGAGAGACTAGGACTGAATGCAGTATTCTAAAAGTGGCCTAACCAATGCCCTATACAGGCGCAACATGACATCCCACCTCTTTACTCTATGCACTGACCAGTACTGGCAAGCGTACCAAACACCTTCTTCATTATCCTATCTACCTGCAACTCCACTTTCAAGAAACTATGAACCTGCTCGCCACGGTTTCTTTGCTTGGCAATACTCCCCAGGACCTTACTATTAAGTGTAAAAGTCCTGCCCTGATTTGCCTTTCCAGAATGCAGCACCTCACATTTATCTAAATTAAACTCCATCTGCCACTCCTCAGCCCATTGGCCCATCTGATCAAGATCCTGTTGTACTCTGAGATAACATTCCTTGCTGTCCAATACACCTCCAATTTTGGTGTCATCTGCAAATGTACTACCCATACCTCCTATATTCACAACCAAATCATCCATATAGATGACAAAAAGCAGTGAAACCAGCACCGATCAATGTGGCACATCACTGGTCACAGGCCTCCAGTCCGAAAAGCAACCCTCCACCACCACCCTCTGTCTCCTACCTTCTGACCAATTTTGTATCCAAATGGCTAGTTCTCCCTATATTCCATGTGATCTAACCTTGTTAACCAGTCTACTTTGCGGAACCTTATTGAACACCTTACTGAAGTTCATGTAGACAACATTCACCACTCTGCCTTCATCAATCCTCTTTGTCATTTCTTCAAAAAACTCAAACAAGTCAGGGAGACATGTTTTCCACACACACAAAACCACCTTGACTATCCCTAATCAGTCCTTGCCTTTCCAAATACATGTAAATCCTGCCCCTCAGAATCTCCTCCAACAACACTGATGTCAGGCTTACCGGTCTATAGTTCCCTGGCTTTTCCTTACCACCTTTCTTGAATAAAGGCACCACATTAGCCAGTCTCCAGTCTTCTAACACCTCACGTGTGGCTAATGATGATACAAATACCTCAGCAAGGGGCTCAGCAATCACTTCCTTAGCTTTTCACAGATTTCTAGGGTAGACATGATCCAGTCCCTGAGATTTATCCTCCTGTATGCATTTTAAGATGCCCAGAACCTCTTCCTCTGTAATTTGGGCATTGTTCAAAATGTGGCTGTTTATTTCTCCAAGTTCCCTAGCTTCCATATCCTTCTCCACAGTAAACACTGATGCAAAATATTTGTTTAGTATCTCAGGCATCTCCTCCAGTTGCACACATAGGCAGCTTTGCTGATCTTTAAAGGACCCTATTCTCACCCTAGTTACTCTTTTGTCCTTAATGTATTTACAGAAATCCCATTGGATTCTCCTTAATGCTATTGCCAAAGCTACCTCATGTCCTCTTTTTGACTTCCTGATTTCCCTCTTAAGTATACTCCTACTGCCTTTACACTCCTCAAGGGATTTACTTGATCCCTGCTGTCTATACCTGACATATGCTTCCTTCTTGAACCTCAATTTCTCTAATCATCCAGCATTCCCCACACTTACCAGCCTTGCCCTTCACCTTAACAGGGACATAGTGTCCTTGGACTCTAATTATTCTCATTTTCGAAGGCTTCCCACTGTCTCTTTACCTGCCAATATCTGCCCCCAATCAACTTTTGAAAGTTCTTGCCAATAACGTCAAAATTGGCCATCCTCCAATTTAGAACTCTAACTTTTACATCAGAGTCAGAATGATTTGAGATGTTCATTCGTCCTGATAAGGGTTATAAAAATACAACTCCTGCTTTCTGTCCTTCCTTCTTCCACCCTCTTGATGCAGTGATACTGTCCCCATAATGGGCTGGAAGGCCTGGATTCAAGTCCCACTTACCCCAAACATGTGCCATAATGCATCAGAACAGGTTTGTGAAATAGCTACATGAGAATTCTAGAGGAACAAAACACACCGTTGTTCCATAATCATTTTAAATTACTTGAACATTATGTGCACATGTTTGCTGGAACTTCTAATCTGTAGGGGGAGATATTAACTTATTCAAAGTTCACCCCTTTACAAAGTTCAAAGTAGGTCTGTAATTTCTATTGGTAAATCTCTCCCTTAATTGTACAGTTAAGTTACTGCTCATTTATACAGTGAAATGGAAAATTAGTCAGGGAGTATAATGGCTAGCCAATTGCCTTACTATTGGTTGAACTGCATCTTCTATGGCAAGAAAGAAAGGTTTAGATCTTGTTAGTTGATGCAAGGATAAGAACATTTCATTGTTTGACAGAATTCTGACTTTTGATTTTGCCTGTTTGTTTTTACTAATGGACAGTCATCCATCAGCTTCTCCCTTTAATCTGCTGCCATCCAAAGTCCTATTACTGATGGAGCAAAATGGCCCTGACCCAACTGTAAGCTGCAGCCCATCTTCAGCATTCAGATCCTGCCCAGGACACAGATGTTCATATTTATACAGTACTTTGAGATATTGCTATAGCAAAGTGAGCAAGGGGAATCGGCTGTGCTCTTTTTAAAAACCGCTTTGTAGGTCGCACCAATTTTTAAAAAATATTTTTATACACAACTGCCATACTTCATCGCAGCTCAATGGAAAATGAAGAAACTAGAGGAATTTTAGTTCCCAACTTATCCCAAGAAATTTATCATAAACCATGACATTAAACACATACAAACATATGTAATAACCTTAAAAAAGGAGAGAATAGTACAGCCAAGAAGAATAAAGCAATGCAGCTTAAAAGCCTGAGAGCCTCTGCGACTTGGGAGCGAAAATTATGCCCTTGCTTATTTACTGTCATCTTGTTTTCTCAGCAGGAGTGATATTTGTGTAATTCTTGCAATCTTGATGACTTTTTTTTAATCAAAGGTACATTTTCAATGGGTACTGACTTTGGAGGTTGAGAAAGAGAAAAAGTGCTGAAATCTTCCAAGTTCTGTTTTTATGGATCCATACTCTCTGCATTGTCAAGGAAAGTACTGAAATATGGCTTGGGTGTATATTCCTGAGTCTACCTTCAGTAATTTTTTATTTGCCTGGTTTCACTGTCTATAGTTGAAATGATAATTTCAATGCAGCCAATTTAGTGTATTCTATATGGGTTCCATCCACTTGCCTCAATCTGTGGTCAGACAATCACAGAGGCCATTTTAGATCAGTATTTGACCTTTTCTAAAAAAAACGCACTTTAGTTCAATAGGTCTCAGGTATTAAGTCGGATTATGGAAGTTGAATAACAGA